ACTGAGGTGCTGATCGACTGGATCCGCGAGGCTCGTCTCCAGCTCAGGAAGAGCTTCGACTCGGACTTTCCTGTTCTGCGTCTGCACTCTGACAGAGGCGGAGAGTTCTCTTCTCGCCTTCTGCGAGACTACTGTCGTGCACGGGGGATCCGCCAGACCTTCACGCTTCCGGACTCACCACAGCAAAATGGGATTGCTGAGCGCCGCATTGGCATGGTCATGGATGTCGCTCGTACGTCCATGATGCATGCGGCTGCCCCCCATTTTCTGTGGCCGTTTGCGGTGAGGTACGCGGCGCATCAGCTCAACCTTCACCCCCGGGTCTCTCGGCCAGCGATGTCCCCAGCCTTGCTGTGGACGGGGAAGGTTGGCGATGCGTCTGTGTTCCGTGTCTGGGGATCTCGGGCGTTTGTCCGCGACTTGTCTGCGGACAAGCTGTCCCCTCGTGCTGCTCCCTGTGTCTTCCTTGGCTTCCCCACTGACGCCCCAGGGTGGCAGTTTTACCACCCCTCCTCTCGTCGTGTTCTGTCCTCCCAGGACGTCACGTTCGACGAGTCAGTCCCCTTCTACCGTCTCTTCCCCTACCGCACTCCTTCCCTCCCCCCTCCCCCGGACTTCCTTGTGCCGGTTCCCCCCCCGGTAGACCCCCTCCCCCCTCAGGTTCCTGCCCCCTCAGGTGTGTCCCAGGTAGACGCCGTTGACCCGGTCGAGGTTACTGGTGACTCTGGTGCTGCTGCGGGTGCTGAGCCTGGGGGTGCTGACTCTGGGGGTGCTGTGCGCGGGGGTGCTGAGCCTGGGGGTGCTACTGCTGGGGGTGCTGGGCCTGAGGGTGCTACTGCGGAGGGTGCGGAGCCTGGGGGTGCTGAGCCGGGGGGTGCTGTGCCTGGAGGTGCTGGGTCTGGGGGTGCTGGGTCGGGAGCTGCTGAGCCTGGGGGTGCTGAGCTGGGAGCTGCTGAGCCTGGGGGTGCTGCGTCTGGAGCTGCTGAGCCTGGGGTTTCTCCTGCTGCTGCGTCTCGCCGGGAGCCCCTCTCTCCACAGGAGCTGCGCGAGTGGTTCGCTCGCCGCTGGAGGCATGCTGCTGAGTCTGGAGGTGCTGCTGGAGCTGGAGCTGGAGCTTCTTCGACCGTCGAGGGTGCGGGTGCAGCCGGTCCCGGAGCTGCTGGCCCTGCAGGTCCTCCTGGAGCTGGAGCTGCTGAGGGCGTTCGTGCTGAGCCTGCTGCTGTTGGTCCTGCCGCTGGAGGTGTGGGTGGCGCTGGTGCTGTCGCTGAGGGTGCTGGTGCTGTCCCTGCTGAGTCTGGAGCTGCCGCGCGGCCTCGGCCGTACTTCGTTCCGCTCCTTCAGCAGGTTCTTGGTCTTTCTCCTCCAGTAGAGGGTCCACCGCCTGTCCAGTCGCAGCCCCTACTAGAGCCTTCCTCTCCACTGCCTGCTCCCTCTCCTTACACTGGTCCTACTGGAGGTCTTGCTGAGCGTCGTGAGCCTGCGTCTCGTCCCGCGTCGCCTGTTCGTGCTGCTCGCGCTAGTGGTCGCAGTTCGCGTCAGCGTCCTCCTCCTGTCCCTGGCACGCACCGGATGTCTTTACGTCCGTCCACTGCTCCTCTGCGTGCCCCTTTGCCTTCTCCTCCTGAGTCCTCTCTTCCTGCGCTTGCGGACCCTGAGTCGGACTCTCTTCGTGCTGCCAGTCCCACTGTCACGCGTCTGCTTGCTACTGTCGTCACTGACCCCTCTTTTGAGTCCACTGCTGCGTCTGCTCTAGTCGCTGAGCTCGTCGACTTTGCTGCTCGCTGTCGTCTCGACTACGCTGCTAGTCTTGTTGCTGAGTCTGCGTCTGTCTGTCCTCCGTCCGTCGGGGGTGAGTGTGCTCTTGGCACGGACGTCCTAGAGGACAGGCAGGAGGAGTTACAGTGTCTAGCAGCTGCTTCACCTCATCTCGCGTCTGTACTGCTTGCCCCTGAGGGAGACCCGGATGCACTAGACATCCCGACTCCGCGTTCTTACGCGGAGGCCGTAGAGGGTCCCTACTCCTCTCAGTGGCAGGCAGCTATGGATGCAGAGATGGCTTCCTGGAAGTCCACAGGCACCTACGTTGACGCGGTTCCCCCTCCTGGGGCGAACATCGTCAGTGGCATGTGGATCTTCAGGGTGAAGCGGCCGCCGGGCTCTCCACCTGTCTTCAAGGCACGGTACGTTGCTCGTGGCTTCAGTCAGCGGCAGGGAGTTGACTACTTTCAGACCTTCTCTCCCACCCCGAAGATGACTACTCTTCGGGTGCTGCTGCACATAGCCGCTCAGCGCGACTACGAGCTTCACTCTCTCGACTTCAGCACTGCGTTCTTGCAGGGTAGCCTGCACGAGGAGATCTGGCTTCGCCGTCCACCTGGCTTCACTGGGACTTTCCCTCCTGGCACCCAGTGGAGCCTCCGACGGCCAGTCTACGGTCTCCGCCAGGCACCGCGTGAGTGGCACGACACACTGAGGACTACGCTTGCGGCTCTTGGGTTTGCTCCTTCTACTGCTGACCCGTCGCTGTTTCTTCGCACCGACACTTCCCTGCCGCCGTTCTACATCCTCGTGTACGTCGACGACCTGGTCTTTGCCACAGCGGACACTGCTGGACTCGCCTACGTGAAGTCCGAGCTGTTGAAGAGACACACGTGCACAGACCTGGGTGAACTGCGCAGCTACCTTGGCTTGCAGATCACTCGGGACAGAGCACACCGCACCATTACCTTGACTCAGTCACACATGGTGCAGCAGGTCCTTCAGCGCTTCGGCTTCACGTACTCCTCGCCTCAGGCCACTCCTCTGCCTACTCGCCACTCACTCTCAGCTCTGCCTTCGGATGAGTCCGTAGAGTCGAGTGGTCCGTATGCGGAGCTTGTTGGCTGCCTCATGTACCTGATGACGTGCACACGACCTGACCTTGCATACCCTCTGAGCATTCTTGCACGCTATGTTGCTCCTGGGAGACACAGACCGGAGCACATGGCTGCAGCGAAGAGGGTATTGCGCTACCTGTGCAGTACGTCAGGCATGGGGCTAGTGCTTGGAGGGCGGAGTCCAGTGGTCCTTACCGGCCACGCGGACGCTTCTTGGGCTGACGACCAGGCTACGCAGCGGTCGTCACAGGGTTACACCTTCAGCCTTGGTTCCGGCTCTGTCTCGTGGCGGTCTACTCGCTCGTCTTCGGTTCTCGGCTCCAGTTGTGAGGCTGAGATCTACGCCGGGGCCATGGCTGCACAGGAGCTTCGCTGGCTCACCTACCTGCTGACTGACCTTGGAGAGCCGCCTCGTTCTCCTCTAGTGCTGTACGTAGACAACAAGGCTATGCTGGCCTTGTGTCGAGAGCAGCGCTTGGAGCACAGAACGAAGCACATTGCTCTCCGCTACTTCCTTGCTCGTGAGCTGCAGCAGCGTGGTCAGTTGCGACTTGCGTACGTGGCCTCTGAGGCCAACACTGCTGATGTGTTCACCAAGGCACTTGCGCCTTGTGACCATCAGCGCTTCTGCACCCAGCTGGGTCTTGTGCCTGTCTTGCCTCACTTGCTCTCCTCTTGACTTCACTTGTACTGTGACATATATATATACCTGCTCTTGCTTGTCTAGCTTTATATATATGTCTGTACTCTTGCTTGTGAACTGGCCTTTGGCCTTGCTCTTGTGCTCGGACTGTGTGGTGACTTTGTGATCCACCCTGAGCTTTGCTTTGTCTTGCTTGACTGGTCTTGTGACCCCTTGTTCTCCCCCACTTTGCCTATGGGGGTGTGTCAGAACATATCTATAGCTTATACTGCTGTGTAGGCTGTAGTGGGGTATCCCATAAGGGGTACAACCCAGTTAGGGTTTCATATTTGTACTGCTTTCATTCATAGTTCATTCATTTCCTGTTTTCCTATTTTCACAAGCTCCACCTTCGGACGAATCTACCTCCTCGCGTTACTTGTGCAGCACATCAGGCATGGGGCTCGTGCTTGGAGGATGGGGTTCGGTGGTCCTCACAGGACACTCTGACGCTTCTTGGGCCGACGACTAGACGACTCAGCGTTCGTCACATGGTTACACCTTCAGTCTTGGCTCTGGTTCTGTCTCGTTGAGGTCCACTCGTTCTTCTTCTGTGCTTGGTTCCAGCTGTGAGGGTGAGATCTACGCTGGGGCCATGGCTGCACAGGAGCTACGCTGGCTGACCTACCTGCTGACCGACTTGGGGGAGCGGCTTCGTTCTCCTCCAGTTCTGTACGTGGACAACAAGGCAATGCTTAGTGCCAACTAATGCCCTATGAGGATTGTACGTTTTGGACCCTTTGCGTTTAGCGTTTGTACGCTAGCGTGTCACGCAAAACGCTATACGCAGCCCAATTTTTGAACAAGGCAGCGCGCCGACCCAAAAAAAACGAATAGCTCAAAACCTGCGGAATTGCACAACGAGCACTTCTGCAAAGTCAGATTGCACGTCACGTGTCTGTCCTGGCTGGAAAGTGGGTTCAATGTCCTGGAGGGTCCAGGTTGGAGTCGCGATTTCCACCAATACATTTTGCATGTTCACAATGGCAAGGTCAAGTATCTGGAGTCGCGCTTTCACGTATTCACGTAATAAGCCCACCACTTCACCACATTCAAAACCACAGCATCTATTGAGTCCAACCGCTCGTCCCCTCATTACCGTCACTCTACATGCTATTAAGCCACTGCTCAAAATGTCAATGTCATTCGTTTTCAACTCCCGCTACCTAGTTAGCGCGGTCCTATCCTACTTTGTATCCATTCGCGACTATGTCCAGCTCTCCTCCTCTCACGCCGCCTTCGTCCAGTCTGTGGAGAGTTCGGGGCCTCGTCCAGCTGCGTCAAGGGAATACCTTGCCAATGTAGATCACAAAGTGTTTTGGCACTTCAGTATCATCAACCGGGAGGAGGGCAAGGCACAACAGTACGAGTTCAAATTCTTCTTCAATTTGTTCACAGGTGCCGCCATCCGTTGGGCTCAGCACCTGACTTCATGGAAGAAGATGAAGCGCTGGGAGGTGTCTGTTTGCAAGAAGGCCCCGGCTGATGTTCGCCTTGCAATGAAGTCCGAGTACGAGAAGCAGGCTACGGATGCAGAGGAGAGGCGCCGATCCACTGAGGCTGCGATTGCCGCGGTGAAACCCAGTGGGAAGCGGGCCCGCATGACCGACTATCTCGAGGGTGACGCAGCAGCGGAAAAACACGAAGCACTTCGGTCGCTTGCGCTGATGTTTGCCGGATGTCACATCATGGAGCAGATCGTCGACTATCCTCTCTTCGTCAACGCAATCAAAGACGTCGCCCGCGCCGGCCACGGCTATGTTTCTCGAGGGCAGAAGTACACCGGCGGTACCGGTGTGCAAGCTTGCTGGCAAGGCATTGAAAGCCGGTCGGTGGGCATCAAGGCAAGCTGGAAAAAAAACATGAGTTACCGTAGTGTCCAACATGATGACGGACAGAAACGGGAGGCCGCAAGCAAATGTCTTCCTCCTCGTTAACAAGGCGGGCGCCGTGTTGGTGGAGTGCGTGGACTGTAACATGGAGAAGAAGACAGGGGCGGGGTTACTGAGGCCCGGGGTGGAGGAGGTGGGGGCGGAGAACATCGTGGCTTTTTGTACGGACGGGGGCTCCAATTACGCGGTAGTGTGCCAGCAGTTGAATGCTGAATGGCCCCACATTCAGCAAGTTCATGTGCGACCCACCTGTTAGATCTTCTCTGAGAAGACGTGGGGTGGGGAAGCTTGGGTGGGCGAAAAGGGTGGTGGATCGGGCTGCGGAGATGACGTCCTTCGTCCGCAATCACCACTGGACGCGGGGGTACTTGCGGACACCGGAGCTGGTCGGGGGAACCGTGTTGCAGGCCTTGACGCAAGCAGGAACCCGCTTCGTGACACAGTATAGAGTTGTGTCCCGACTGTGTGAGGTCTGTAACTCCCTTATCCAGATGGTGCTCTCCGACCTGTGGAAAGAGTGGGCTGTGGACGCGGAAGGTGGCTGCTGAGGGGTTTGACGCACTGGTACTCGACGGCTTGGTGAAAGGCTGCCGAATTCTTCGTGAAGCTCATGAAGCTCCCCTACATTGCGATGCGTGAGACGGATGGGAGCACTAAGGGGATGATGCGGCGCATATATGACATTAGGCTCCAACTCACCGATAATGTAGGGGACCTTGTCGACGCGGATGAGGGGCAGTTGAGCAACAATGACAATCAGCAGATCTGCCACATCTTGAAAAACAGGTGGGACGGGAGTCTTGCGTGCGCCATGCACGTGGCACGATGCATCCTCAACCCCGCCAACCAATCGGAGGACATACTTGGTGGGAATGCCGAATGGACTAGGATATTTAAGGCCTTCATCTCCAACCATGCGAAGTTCCTGAGCAGCAGCCGTCGGAAGGAGGGGGATGATGAGTGCGACTACTTGCTCACCTTGGGGGACCAGTTGAGGTCTTCCCTTGATCTCAAAGGGAGTTTTGGGATGGCTGACGCTATTGCACAGAGGGAGAAGGTAAAGGCGGGCACTTACAGCATGGTTACATGGAACAGGGCAGATGCGCCCCAGCTGACGGCGCTCGCCGTAAGGGTTCTCTCGCAACCCGTCTCAGCTTCTCCTTGTGAGCGTGGTTGGGCAGGGTGGGAATCAGTCCACACTGCCCGCCGGAACCATGTTGAATCCGCCAAATGCACGGATTTGGTGTACGTTGCACACAACTGGAACGTTGTGCGCAACTGGCACACGCGTGATGATGTGATGCCCTCAATCGTTCGCGGGAATGAGGTGGAGCCGCCCATCCCCGCTGGCTACAAGGTCGCGGATGAGATGGAGGAAGGTGATGACGAAGTCTTGGCGGACGAGTTTGAGAAGTAGAAAGACTATGGGGTCAAGAAGGGGGTAAGTGGTGGTGGTAGAGTAGAGAAGATAGTAGTGAGTCACATTGATGTTCTATGTATGGCCATGGAATAGTTTTATAACGAGGGCAAAAAAATTGTAAAAGCACATCCCACCAGAACCCCCCTTGCACTCCCGGAGTGTTTTTTTGCCCTGCCCGTAAAATGTTTTTACCTGCCCAGAAAAGCGTATGCTTGAGCAGACCCCTCCTGCGTATAGCGTGCACACACTAGCGTATATATGACACGCGTATATGCGCTATAAGCGTATAATCCATCATAGACTAAGGCTACCATGTTATGCATGCTCTCTAATTACAACGGACAAGAAAATAACATTCAACAAGAACTAAGGGGAAAGTTTAAATATGAGGTTAACAATGAACACCATTCAGTACCAATCAAGAAAGCATTCCCTATGCAACACCACATGTATACCCATGGTTGGCACATACACATGGTCCCATGGATGCCACATGGTCGTGGATGTCACATGCCTGTGGATACCATATGCCATGGATGTCACATGCCTGTGGAGGCCACATGGCGTGGATGTCACATGCCCGTGGATGCCACATGCCGTGGATGCGAAGCCAGCGCTCTGTAGACCCCTCTCCACATTGTCATCTCTCATATTGCTTCCTCATTTCTCTTCTTCACCTCCTACTTCGCTCGTCTCACCCGACCATCCTCATATGCCTCTTCTTCCTCTTCCTCTTCTGCCTCCTCCTTGTCCACGTCCACTTTCCCTTTTGCTCCGCTTCTAGTTGACTCGTCATTCTTCTTCCCATTCATCTCTTCTGCCAGCACATGTTCGTCCCCTTCTGCTCCCTCCTCCAGACTCCCACTCTTACTCAACAACTAATTTCATCTTCACTCCCTGCACTCCACTTTCTCAGAATAACTTGCACTGAGGCAACTCTCATCCAACCTTCTCCCGTCACTTGCCCCTCCCCCCTTCAGCGAAATCTCTCACAACTACCTTACCGGCCGCGCACTGAAGCCTCTAGCTGCGCGCACCCTGGATCTCTCCAGCAACTTCCTCTCGGGCCCTCTGCCCAACGGGGCATGCCAACCTCTTTCTTTTGATGCCAACTGCTTCACGCTGCCACTGGGCTCTGCCTTGGTGCCGCAGCGGCAGGAGGCAGCATGCAATGCATTCTGTGGCGTCTCTTCTGTAGCTGGTGGTGCTGCTGCGTGTGGTGGACATGGGGTGTGCTATCCACAGGGGCCTAGCTTGGCACCCACATGTCTGTGTGATGCAGGATTCGTGCGATCTAGAGACATCGGCTGTGTTGCTCAAGGTAGGGGCGCCACTTGAAGTCGATGGAACATGACTGCAGATTCACAGAATGGTGGTAAATTTGTGCCAAACCACATGCACTCCAATAACTTGGTTTTATTAACCTGTTCGACCTTGTTTGTTTTTGTAAGCCTTGCACGTCATTGCACCTTCTCATGCCTCCATATCCCATTCGTGTCTGTCCGTCTTTTACATTTGTTTGTGTAGGCCAAAACAGGAGTTACTCTAGCAGCCAGCTGATTCTCCCACCAGCTTCTGCGCTCACCAAAGGGACACAGCGGGAGACGAGGGGGAGCTTCACGGCAGCGCCAGTGACGCTGTTTGTGTATGAGGCAGGGCAGGCGCTGTCAGGGTGTGGGCTGCAACTCGCCTTCCATGCCAACTTCAGCTTCTCCCTCTTTCCTCAATCCGGTCGCGTTGGCTTCAACGGCTTTGCCTTTGTTGTCTCGGCAACCGACCGGGTGGGGAGAGGCACCGGTGTGGGGTATGGGGGAATGGACAAGCGGAGTGTGGCAGTTGAGTTTGACACTCGGTAGGACAAGCAGCACGGCGACATGCGCACCCAGCATGTGGGGCTGAACGTTCGAGGCGAGGACAAGTCGATAGCCGCTGTGCTGTCACCATTCCCTCTAAGCAGCAAGAAGGCATACACAGCATGGCTGGACTATGAGCCGGGGGACCCTGACACCATCCAGGTCTTCCTGGCTGACTCGTAGGAGAAGCCACAGAAGGCGGTGCTGGAGAGGAGGCTGGCGCTGTGTGAGGTGCTGCAGGGTGGGGCGGAGCAGCACACCTTCTTCTTTGGCTTTGTGGCCTGCACCACCGTGAAGCCGTTTCAGAAGCACGTCATTCTTGAATCTACAGTGGACACATGTTAGCATAGATATGAGCAGAACACCTACACGAGTCAAGTTTTTTCTCGACTCCCTTTTATGCTGAGTCGATCAAGTCTTGATTAGTCAAGTAAAGCTTGACCAATTTTTTTTTTTATACTCATACCTGACTCGTTACTCTCCCTTTTGACAAGCATTTTGAAAAAACGAACGAGTTGAACTGCCAATTGGTTAGTGGTTAGGGCCTAAACACAAATCCTTTTTTCTCCAATTGCTTTCTCCTTTCCCAGGCCTTCCTGCTTCTCCCCGATCAGTCACACGTACTCCAGGTGAGAGATCTTTTCTCATGCTCGTGCTTGGTTCTCTCGTTTGTATCCTGCATCCTTCACTCCACTCTCCATGTCCATGTACCTTGTCTTGTTTCTTTTGGCCCCTGTGATATTGAATACGTATGCCTTTGATAGAAAAGGTACGAGTATGAATATTCAGCCAAGGTGGTAAATGGTGCACTATGGACCAACCAACATCCCAAGATCATGTTTACAATATACCATGTCTAAAACAACTGAATAGGAATAAAAAAACGGAAGCTGAGCAACGTTACGGTGTACCGAATTGGGGGAGGTGCCTAAATACAATACAGTTGTCGAAGGGGGTGGAATAAATGGAGCAGGGTGGAACGTAGAGCCTGTTAGACTGTTAGATAGATGTGAAATGGCAATCAACCAACAACCATATTTTATGAGTGAAGAGATGCAGCCCAGCAAAGTATGGGAAACTAACTTGACTGTACTTATGATTGATTGTCCCAGTTCAGATTGCCCTTGGCACAACCTGTGTTCATGACATCCCATTCATTCCCCCATCATGCAACTCTTGAGAGCATCCCAGCCTATGGCCTGCAGCTATTAACAAACACGTACATGCCAGCATGGGCCAGCCCCTTCCCGCGCTACGTGAGTGCGGACTACCGAGTGGCGCCCAGCAAGCAGGACTCGTGGGTTGTCAGCGACTTCCACTCCTGGGACTCCGTGCCCTTTCTCGGCTGGCCCGTCAAGGACCAGAAGGACTGCAGTGAGTGAAATAAATGGCGAACCTGGGAAGCATGTTGGAGCCAATAGCTTCGCTGGTGTGTCGTTGATGGTTGCTACAATCTCTTTGTTCTCCACCTGCTGCTCTGCTGCTGACCACATGTTTCAGCCAGACATCTTGTAATACTCGGCTCAATACGTGCTTAGGATCCACTCTGGTTATTCACTACTTTGATTTAACACTCTTCGAATCCACTTTGTTTATTCACGAAACTGTTCTTGTCATACCCAGATGCTTGCTGGGCGTTTGCGCTGGTGGCGAGTGTGGAAGCGGCATACGGCATTGCAACGAATGGAGAGGCGCCGCAGCTGTCAGTAGAGTCGCTCTTTGCAGCCATGGGGCTCACTTCCAAGGTTGACAAGTGCAGCACGGGGGGGCTCCCCCAACGAGGCATTGGAAACTCTTCTCACGCTGCCCAATGGCGGAATCACAGAGGCTGGCGCACCTGTGAGTAGTGTGGTGCAAGAGCAGAAGGTTAGAAAGGATAGATGTTTGTGAGAGAATTGAGAACTCTGAGTAGTGTGCCTGATGTTGAGATGAGTTGCAACGACACTACAACTAGTGACACAAAGGCTCTTCTCTGAGTTCTAGACTTAGTTGTTGTCAGCGGTTGAATTCTCTAACACAGCTGAACAAATTTCTCTAAAGCATAATTTTATCTTGAAGCTGGATATGCTAAAATGGATTGGTCGAGCCAAAAGGCCCAATTTATTCATGCAAACGACAAACAGATTCTACCACGACGAACGGAGAGAAGGCTGCCTGAGCCTGTAAACAAACAACTCGGTATTCGCGTGGCATTCAAGGCTCAACTGAAAAGTCAAATGTTTATACGAATTTGTCGGAGCATGCTATTTGCATTATGTATTATCCGTTCATCAAGTGTTATTGCCATGCTCGAGTGATCAAGGGATTTGTGCACACTGTGGGCTGAGGAGATAAAGCTTTCACGCTCCAGACCAAATCGATTAGGTGAGGGATGACTAGAACTCTGATGAATATATTAAAAAAAATAGAAAAGTGAAAGCTGAGTGTATTCGATTAATATTCGCAATACAACCTTGAACACTATTTGCAATATATCTAGAAACACATTATGACTCCTGCTCTTGTTAGAACCCATGTTTGAGGTTCCATAACACAAGCACATTTCAAGTTAAATGAGATTATTCCATATGTTGTAACCACCTTACTATGCACCCCAATGTTGTACTGCTTGCTAGAATTGGCTAGGTTAAACCAGGTTAGCCTTTACTTGTTGCATGCATTTTCAGCAAGCAAATGTTGTTCTCTTTCTGTTGAGGTCTCTTAATGTGTTTATTTCTCTTCCTTCCAACTTGTTGCGAAATTCCCTTTGAGCTGTCAACATTCAGAATAAGAAGTACCCTGTTCACGCATTTGAGCGCACTCGATTCAAGGGGTTTGTGGGGCTCATGCTGGCAGTTCGACGACAGCCAGTGGTGGTTCACATAGAGGCTTCTGCTCGAGAGTTCGCGCAATATGACGGGGTGGGTGGTGCCTGCATGTACCCTTTATGATGTGCATACGTTGAAAAAATGTTTTACAAAAGTTGTTACCCACATCAATCTGTACATTTTTAAAACACCCATTCCCATCTTTGTTGTGATGTCCCTCTTTCTCTTCAGACCTTCAAGTACCAGGATCCTTGCTGCTACACCGGCAGACTGAACCACGTTGTACTCGTTGTTAGCTACTTCGTCTTCAGAAATGACGGCAGCCAAAATCGCATTGCACCCCCATTTTGGATTATCCGCAACTCGTGGGGAGTGGAGTGGGGTGACAGAGGCCACATGCGTATGGACATTCAGGGAGGTGATGGCGTGTGTGGCATCAACGTGCTGCCTGGCATCTACCCCATTGTCAAGAGTGAGGCACCTACCGTTGAGTGAAGCAACTTCCTTTGTCGTATCTCAATCTCCTCATCCCTTCAACTCAAGTACATCACACGGCCAACAGTCACTGGTCCAAATGAAAGGCACAGAACAAGATGTAAATCACAGCCATGGAGTAGGGTGGACTGGAGACATGGAGAGAAGAGAGTGTGAGGCAGTGCTGTCCATGTTTGTAAGGTGGTGAGTTTCCAACTCACGTTTTCCCGACCTTACACCTCTCACTTGGCTAGCCTTTCTGATTCCTGCATGCTGTCTTTTAGGGATGAGCAAAAAAACGAACACATGTTCAGTTCGCCTCGAACATTTTTTTGGCTTAAAGTGTTCGCCGAACAGTGTTCGAGGTTCGCCCTAACACGTTTTTGTTCGGGTCGCTGCTGTGATTTGCCCCGCAACGAACACGAACGTGTTGGAGGTTCGCCCGAACACGCCTTCATAGGCGAACGGCAAACACCTGTTTTTGCTAAGGTGTTCGCTGAACCGAACAGTGTTTGGTTCGCCGAGCAGGGGTGTTCGTGCATGGGCGAACGCGAACACGTTCCTGTTCGCCCCTTCCTCATCCCTACTGACTTTTTAATGAAGCTGCATTTGATGTTACGAGCTCCATTTCTATCATTTAAACCCGTTTCTACTACTCCTCGTCTCATCTGTACCACCCTCCAGTTCCCAAGGACCTGTGCGGCCACAGGAGCTTCAAGGGTGACGGCGACCTGCAGCCCAGCATGAACCCGTGTGGGCGGTTCACATGCCGAGTTAACCTACGCAGTAACACCAACTCGTGTAACTGCTCGCTTCCGAATGAAGCCAGGCAGCCATTTTTTCAAGTTGCAAATGGATACGGATCCCAAACTTGTGCCTATTGTAAGTGGTTTGGTCCTGAAACAATGATGTTCATTCGTGACCGTTGTCAAAAGTTTGTTCGTCTGGTTTGTTCGTCAAAACTTTTCTCAACCCGGATTCTGCTATCTTTTGGGGTTTCTCAAATTCCTACTCCTCCCTCCACGCACTCTTCCTGTTGTTCTCAACACATGTATGTCTCTTCTCGCCTCATCCCTGTGCTCCACAATTGTGGCTCATAATGCCTGCCAGTGGACGTGTGTGGGTCTGACTTGAAGAGCCCCTGCTATGTGGGCACATGCATCAACGACGGCAAGGGCTCCTACTCTTGCATCTGCCCTCCCAACTACGTTGAAAGCACAATCATTGACAGCTTCCCCACCTGCGACCCTGGTGCTGCTCTTTGGCCTTGTTTGCAAGATGGTCACTACTTTTTCCGATTATTATTGTACCAAATGTTGAGGTCATCGCGACCCTCTCAAACTGCTTGTGCTCTTTGGTAGCCATGAGAGAATCACCAAACCGAACTGGTTTGATGACGAACTGAATCGGTTATAATTGAAGCGGACGGCCAAAAACGGCTGCAGTTTGATTGTCTGCAGTTTGATCTGTACATAAGTTTAGTAAGTTGGTTTTCAGTTAAGCCCCTCTTCTTGGTGTGTTCCCCTTCTTTCTATCTCATCTTTCTTCAGCCAACACCACGGCCAGCACCTTGGCAGTGAGTGGAAGCAATTGGTCGTGCTCTGATGTCCTCCCTCTTGTGGGCCTCTCACTTGCACAATTCACGCAGAATAATCCGGTAAGCAGTAGAGATGGCGAGTCTAGAAGAGTGGAGGTGCAGGCAGAGATTGTGACACAGCAGGAAAGCATGAGCTGCAATGTCCTGAGGACTCTACTGAAGTTATTGGGTGATTTGAATGCACGCAGTAGTCCCACGGAATCCGTAACTTGGTTATAATTCAATTTCTGATACGTTTGTGCTCCTCATCGCAGGCCATTGACTGCAGTCGCCCTTTGCCTCGTAACGTGGTGCTTCAACTAGAGAATTCCCTCCTCATTCCCTGCACCGCATTCTTCTACACCATCAGCGTGAGCTTTAGCCCTTGTTCCCTTGGCCAATCTAGCAACCCAACCTACTTCAGCATTGCACGAAGTACAGACGTCTTGCTTTGCCTCCAGGGCTTATGTGTTATACCTTGTCTCCTGCTGTCCTTTACACGCTCACCATGAGCTTTGTCATCTGTTTTGAGCTCAGCAAGGCAGTCTTTATCGTCTCAGCCTAATTTGAATTGGTCATAGTAAACTGTACTTCATTCACCGCAGACATTTGTGCCTTACTCCCATTCTTCAACCCTTCAGAGCGACACATGCTGGTCCATCAGCACGCAGCTGGGCCTCACCAACAGCAACCTCACTGCTCTCAATCCTGGGCTCGACTGCTTTGAGCCCATCAAGGCGAGTCGCTCTCTGTGTGTCGAACGCAATGCCACCTTCGCTTTCACGGTCCCTCAGTGCTCGCAATACGGCATGCTCACACCACAGGACACCTGCGAGCGCCTGCTGCGGCAGGTGGCGGGGAGTGAGGGCGACCCAACAGGGGCAGGGGAGGTGAATGCCATGCGCTGGGCTGAGCTGTACCGCAACAATTCCGGCCTCATCTGCTCCGATGTCATCCCGATCACCGCCTCTGCTGTTGGAAGCAACACCGGCGTGCAGGTGAGTGGTGGAGGGTAGAATAGACCAGGAAAGAGAGATGGGAGGAGAAGGTGGAGGGAAAACTGTGGAATGAAGGGGTGTTTGATGGGTGAGAGTGCAAAGGTCGTCCCTCATGTGCTCTTGCTGCAAGATTCGTAAGCCCTTTGTTCCAACTATTTGCCCTTAACCATTTTTTTTTTGCAATATCGTTCTTTTTGTGCCAATCTCTTTCTTTTACTCCCTCACTATATGTTCCTTGAACTCCTTGTGGCTGTAAATGGCGCCGTTGCAGATTTGCCTGCGCGTAGAGTATTGGTCATTCGACGTCGGCATATGCAAGAAGGGTAAGCAAAAACCAGTATCACCATCATTGACGTGCTCAGGTGCATATAGCTTCTATGGTGGAGCTCAGAATGGAGCCATTTCAAAATACTACATGTACAATGAGAAGAAGTGTGTTGGGAGTGTAGGCACCAGGTTTATTTGTGTGCCGTAAATATGACTTTGGATACGATATGCCAATCTGCATGAGGGTCCTTATTATTAGAAGAATGTTGTCTATTTCCTAGATATTTATATTGTGTAGTACCCTTGATAGTAACGCAAGTGCGCTTGTAAAAATGGTTTTTTACAAAGGGGCGCTTTTACTTGAGTTTAGGGCAGGCCTCTTGTTATCAGACCAATTTGGTCTGAATTTCTGAATTCCAGACGTGATTTTTTGTATTCATCTGATTTCTAAGAAAATCTGTTTTTCCTCATCTGAGGAGCAAAACAAAGGCTTTACGTTTGTATGATTTTCAAGACCATGTAGAATACTTCGTCTGAATTTACAGATATCGAGTTCGGTTTCGTCTGAAACCGACAAATTAGCCCACTAGGCCATAGGACCACTAGGCCATATGCCCAGTGGACCATAGGACCACAGGTACAAGTATGGTTGCTGCCCTATACCTGCACGCGCATTCAATGTGCGTGTCTTGTAGCAGCCTCGCTGTCACGAACCTGTGACATTTGCTGCCAGGAGACTGTCGTGTAGCTGGTTGTCGGCGGCGACGCCAGCCACAGCCATGGCAACGCGCTGTCACATTGAGCCAGCGCACTTCCCTTTCCTACACGTTACGTAACAATGGACGGTGGTTGTCCTGTCCGCCGCTCCCATCACGCATCGCCTTTTGATGTACACTGCACGATGACGGGTTTCATGCAGATGAGCGAGGCTTGTTAAATAGGTTGTTTGTGGAGCTCGTCCTCCTCACTTGTCACCCAGCCGAGCATGGTCTATTTCCCTCGTCACAGCTTCTTTCATCTAGTTTAGGCTATGGCCGACCCCACCGCTACTGGTTTTGGCATTAGACTTCCTAACACGGGGCAAGCCGATCGCCCCTGTCGCCCCTCCGATTGCTTCAACACCTGCTGCGGTACCTTCGCCCGTTGATGATATGCCATTGTCAGAAAATGGCGACAATTCTGTTCCATCGACCGCTACACCTACTACGCCAGTATCTACCTGCATGCCGCCCTCCAGTGCCGAAAAGAACGTCCGTTTAGTATCTGACGCTACGAAATCCTCTCTTAAGGCTAACCCCGTCTTGCCCGACAGGTCATCAAAGCAACGGTACAAGCAGCGTGTTCTGAACTTCGCGCGTCCAGGCGGTCCGACTTAGCCGGCACCGTCTGTGGAGGTGCGACCCGTTGCTCCCGAACCGGCAGCTAAAGACTTCGAGGACCCCAAAGGCAAGCAGTTATCGGTTGAGGAGCTTCAGCTGAAGTGCAAGGAGCAGTGGCAGCGATACGTTCCCTGGCTATTCATCTCCGAAACCAAGGATGGCCGACCCTGCATGCGCTGCAGCATCTGCATGGTCTTCGCCGACCCCCATTCCAAGTATGGGCGCTACGGTGTTGGTGGCACCAACATTCAGAAGCAGACGATGCGCAAGCATCACCACAGCGTGAAGCATGAGGCGGCGGTCTTGAGGAAGGAGCAACGTGACGGAGCAAAGAAAGGACAGAAGTCCATTGCGGACTTTCACCAATGGGACGAGGATGTCGAGCGCCTTGCTCGTTTGATGTCCATTGTCTTACTCATTTGTAAATCTGACGCGCCCATTGTGCTCTTCGTGTCACTCGTATAGTTCACGGCTGAGCATGGGGACTTTGGATCTGCCCCTTAAGGAGAACGGCACGTACTACAGCGAGTAAGTGTCCCGTTCGTCTTGTTCTAAGGTTTTGTAATCGCATAGATGCTAATGTTAATATCCCTGCATTTTTCAGGTACGGCTTCGCACAACTGGTCGAGACCATGGTGTGCTACCTGAAATCCCGCCAGCTGAAACACATCCACGAGAGTCCTTACCTTGGAATCCAGCTGGACGAGAGCACCGACCGACGGAAGGGGAAACACATGATCGTCTACATGACTTTCATGCGTGACAACGCTGCCGTCACCGTGTTCTATGCATTGCTGACTGTGGAGCAGTATGACGCTGGTTCTCCTTACCCATTTGGAGTGTAGCGGCATCAATCTCCAGCGAATCGCCGGTATGAGCACTGATGGAGCTAGTGTCATGATCGGCCAGCACAACGGAGTGACCGCGCACCTCAAAGAGAAGGTTCCACGTATCGTGTCGTCACGTTGCATCGCGCACAGGCAAGTGTCCTCGTGCAATTTGTTAACCCGGGCGTGATCGTTTTTTTATTTCTAATGTTTCGTTATATGGGTTGCAGGGAGGCCTTGGCAGCCAAAGATGCAGCACCGAAACACCCGGACTTCAACGTCATGGACAAGGTCGTTCGGTCCGTTGCTGAAAACCTCAGACGTTCTTTGGTCGTCCACGCCCGTTTTTATTGAGCTGCAGGAGGTCATCTGTGAGACCAACCTCGAAGTTCAAGGGATCAAGGACGTGCGCTGGTTGTCTCACGGTCAAGCTCTCGGGAGACCTGGTGAAAGTGTTTCGGCGGCAGCGTTTGTCTTGCATGAGTTCGACAACAAGATGTACAAGGTCATCACTAGCTACAAGTTTTAGTTCATGATGTTTTTCCTAGCGGATGTGCTGAAGGAGCTCAACCTTCTGAGCTTGAAGTTCCAGCGTCGCTAGGTAAGCGTATGTTATGCATGATACTCGTTTATTTTTAACCTCGAGTTAAGTACTAACCTCTCTTGTGCTTGTTTGCAGGTTGACGCGACCCATGTGCTGCCGATGGTACACAACATGACTTTGCTGTTGCGCACTCGTTACCTCGACAACGACGACGAGTCCTTTGGACAGGGCGGAGATGCGCTGGGCCCCTTTCTCAAGAAGCACGCATCCAGGGAAAAGAGAGAGGTGAAGGTGGCAAGCACGTCGTCTGACGGTACTTCGTCCAACCTTCGCTATACACTCAACGAGGAACCCATCGATGGGTAGAAGAGCCGTGCGAGCCACGGTGCGTGTTTAAAGCTGGCGCGCGCATTCGTGGCGACCTTGATCGGTAGGCTCGACTACTGCCTCAAGGACCTAGCCAACCTTGACGGGGCGAAGCTGTTCAAGCAGGGCTCATATCCCAAGAGCCAAGCGAAGCGCGAGCGGAAACTCGGACAGTGGCTGTAGTCTCTGCGCAATATGTTTAAGAGGAAGCCTAAAGACCTTGACACTCTACCAGGTGCGTAAGATCCTTCAACATTCATGCGTATGTTATCGTTGCTTAACCAAATTAATGCATTTCATTCTTTACCAGATTGACTCATTTTGTTGCACCTACTCCCCTTTGCGGACCCCAACCCACAGGCATCAACTGGGCGCTCGCATAGAGGGAGCACGTCACATTCTCTACCATCATGGCCACACACCAGGAGGATGTGAGCTTTGCGGACAGCCAGAAGCTCATGATGCCCTCTCCTGATAGGACGACCTGCTACCTGAATCTCGTGCACCTGTGGATCGCCGTCGCCGTTCTTCCGCTCAGCACGGTGGAGTGCGAGCGCGGCTTCTCTCGGCAGAATGTAATCAAGAGCTAGCTTTGCGGGAACCTGTGTGACGCGAAGCTAGGGGAGCCGATGACCATCTCGCTTCTTAGCTATGACATGGAGTGGCCGGAGTTACGGAAGAGGATTAATGCTTCCAAGAAACGCAGGCCTGCTAAGGATGTGCTGATGGCTTCCGAGGAGAGACAAAGCAAGCGCGCAAAGAAAAGATCTGCCTCAGCAGCAGCAGCAGCCGCAGCATTGGCAGCAGCAGAAGCTGCAGCCCGAGAAGCAGCCCTAGCAGTAGAAGTCGCAAAGCTTGATGTAGAGTATCCCTGGCTCAGTCGGAAGGACAAGGAAAAGTTCCTGACCCTTTTGCGGAAATCGAGGATGACACCGATGATGACGAAGACAGCGGCGATAGTGACTCTGACTAGGCTGATGATGAAGACAGGAGCGATCGTGACACTTGACTAGGTTGTCTAGGATGTGCTAACTGCTTAACACGTTGATAGATGTATGGCATAGTTAGGCTAAGTAGGAAATTCAACGTATTATTACTTTGTAGTAGGTTCAGACCGGGGAAGTTATTTCGTATGATGGATCAGACTTCATAGAAATTTTTGTCTTAAGAGTCAGATAGCAGAAAGTTGGTGATCTTGGCGTCAGACGAAAAAAAATATATATATACTGTCAGACAGGCCCAAAACCTAACAAGAGCCCTGGTATAGGTATAAGCCCATGTGCTTATATAATGACAAATACAAGCACCAAATTGTACGTTTCATTCTTGCCATTTCCACCAAGTCGAAATCATGGACATTTTTCCAAGGGTATGTTGCATTGATTCCCCTTCCTAAAAGCCAATTTCTTTTACGTATACCTTAATTTTGGAAGACCAGCTGTTTTGCAACCCTTTCCGAAGATGTGTAGCAATCTTTAAACCCTGTGAAAAGCAGGGTTGGTGTTTTGTTCCCGTAGCAATCAGGGTTGGTTAAAAGAATCCTTTTATTAAATCCTCGCTTCTATAGTTTCACACATAGTACCCTTTTACCCTTCTGTATTTCCCTTTTACGAGTTTTGTATAATTCTGCCGAGT